CTAATTGGTCGAAAGAAGTCGTTTGCGGAGAAATTAAAGGTCTGTAAACGAAGAAGTGTCTCCCATAGCCTGATAGTTTCTCGTAGCTCATTTCGTGTTTCCGCGGATTGTCTATGACTTCATTGGTAATTGACCGCGAATATATTTCTTTGCTGCGTCCATTCATTGCTGCAAGCAATTTGAGGTGATCTATCGTAAGTTCATCAGTCATTACGTTCATTTCTAGTTGAGGAGCTTGTGCTTCTATTGGAGCATTGTCTCTAGGAGGATATGCGGTTTGACCTTCGTCTCCAAGACATGCTGACTTGTAATTTGTATTACAGACGTAGTCAGTGAAGTCGTTTCTCGGTGATTTGAATGGTCTGGGTCTGGATCAATGAGATAAGATTTACATCCGGATTTCCAGTTCTGCATCGTACGTATCGATGGATCCATTGTCTTTAATTTACTCTTGTCAACGCGATGTGTGCGTGCGTCAAAAAATATGAAAAATATGTTGATTGTACAAATTTCTTGTTCATAAACAAATGGCCTTGTTCGAATGACGAATTTCGCCTTAACTTGGACTTGTCAATATAAACCAACGCCTGACAGTTCATAGAGTACCTTATTTTTCTGTTTTTGGAAAGAATTAAAATTTATTAATGAACAAACTGCGTCATCTGCTGAATCATTGCTATTTATATTGAGTGTAGGTTCCGATGTGATTGGTGAAGTCTTTGGAATATCTTTCTGAATTTGGGATTGAGATTTTTATTTGGTTTTGGAGAATAATTGGATTTTGAAATCTGAACTAGAGGAGCACCTGGCATTTGGACTGGTGTAGGCACTGCAGTTTGCTGATTACCAAGCATTTGTTCTGAGTAATAATTCTTTTTTATCAGGATTTAGATTTATCGAACTGATATATCGCATCACTTGTAGTATTTGCGGATTAAACTGAGCCCCTAATGGTTTTTGTGGTGGCTCAGGTCCGGGTAATCCAGACATTAAAATTCACAAAAGATGACGTGATGTCACTTTTTTGATGTTAAAAATGTAAAAGTACTCCTTGATGAAATTTATGATAATCAGATCAAAATTTCGCAATTTCATAGGCAGCACACTAAAGAAAACTTTGCATTCATTTATTTAGTGCATGAAAAATCAGAAATTACAACATGATACCCAGTGAAGAGGTGTTTTTCCTTGATTCTATCTTGAATTTCCCAATGGATTAAAATCTTCTGATAAAACGCTGAGAATATTCACACATACAAGATATAATTATATGTTTTAGCTATCATTTTTCTGCATTTTCATTCCTATCACATAGATTAGCATTTGATTATAAATTAAAATCAAAAGCAACTCTATAATATGGAATGAATAAGATCACTTGTTAGTTCTAATACTATTTTAGATGTCGCTAACTATCTTTGAAAATTAAATTTGATGAAAATATGGGCTAGATTTTGTTCAATTGTTTGTTTTTTTAATTTTTACCAAATATTTTTTTATGTATTAAAGTTTTTTACCATGATCATGTTATAAGACCAATATGAGAATAATTCACCTCCAAAATCTTTGATTTTAACAAAAATAATTTTTTCATAATATTTTATTTTTAACTTTGATAACAATTGGTTATTCAATATTTTTTCAACTTAATTGATTACTGAACAATTAAGTAATTTGAAGATATTTAACTGAATAATGAAAATTATTCTAATAAATAAGAAAACTAATAGTCAATACATACGTATGGTTGCATTTTACAACTCATTGGTTGCTAACAAATCTTAATATCAAGTTAACATGATTCAAATTGATCAAAGGTTGTAAGAGGGAGACTCCAAACTTGCTCGATCAAGATTCCTCCAGGGTTTCCAAAAATTTTTAATGTTAAGAGTTTTGCAAACTTTATTTGATCTTATATATTTTTCATTTTATTGAAATATTTGATAAAATCATAAAGTAGATAGCACATTGTGATGACCCAATGGTTATGTGTTATCCAAGCGTTTGTGTGATATTCAATAAAAAAATTTAATAAAAGAAAGCATATACAGACTTGGTATTGTTGATAGAATTTAGAGTAATCTCTTCCAGTTTGGCCAAACTGATATATTTAAGATATCATGAGAATTAACAATAAAAAATTTTTGAAATTTTAAAAATTATAATGCCAAAATGATATATTTCTTAGGCCAAAGAGAAAAAAAGATGGATTAATTAACAGACACAGAGTGAATCGCACATGATTAAGTTTTTATGAATAATTAAGAATAAAAAACAAAAATTAAGCTGCAAGAGGTAACAAATCTTCATTTGGAATTGGAGTGATTTCCTCTTCCTGGTGTAAATGTGGCTTATCTGGTGTTGGAGTTGTGATAGCCCACTTTGGTAAAAGGAATCTAACATGTTTGCCATGTGTAAATGATATAATTTGGTAATCTCCGTCTTGTGGAAACACTGAACTCCATCGTTAAAATTCATCGCAATAATTCGAACTGCTGAAGATTGTAAGAAGACTGTGGCTTCCAACAGCTGATCCCTCGTATGGGCAGTTGAATCCTTTGTTGCAGGATTCGTGAGAACGAACAAGAAGTTCAAGATTGTTGTCTTCTAAGAATTTAACGAGTGGTTTAGCTCCAAAGAGAGCTCCAACGCCACGGTCGCTAGGTTGGAATGTATCTACTTCGTCAATTGGATCGGACCAGAGCATATCTGCGATGATTCCTGTTAATGGAATATCGTTTGGCTTCTTTTGAGCAGCAATCTGTTCGACCTTATGAAGGTCCTTCGATATTCCGCCATGAACGCAGAAAACGCGGTTATCTATAACAGCTGCTATTGGTAAGTGTTTGAAACAGTCCAAGAACTTGAAAATACATCTGCTTGTTAAGTCTCTTTCTGACTTCTTCTCTGAAACCGTTGATTCCTGTCATTGAATTTGATTCATGATTTCCACGAAGGAGATAAATGTTATTTGGATGGCGAATCTTAAGGGAAATAAGAAGTAAGAAAACTTCTAATGAGTTTTCTCCTCTATCTACGTAGTCACCGAGGAAAATATAATTCGTTTCTGATGGATAACCACAACGCGTAAAGATTCTGAGGAGATCATCGATATTTCCGTGAAGGTCACCAACTATTTATGATATTGGCTGGAAGCTTCAAGAGAATTGGGTCGTTCTTAAGGACTTCTGATCCTTGGAATAAAATGTCTGTTATTTCTGTGCATCAAAGTGCAATTGCTGTTTCTTATCCTTCTTGCCTGCGCCGAATCTACTTTTAATTATTCTTGTAATGAAAGCATCGTTGATGGACATAGCAGAAAAAATAATAAAAAAAAATAGGACCATAGATCGCTCTCTCAATTTAGGATTATCCCCAAAATCAAAGTTGATTTCCTGTTTAAAATATTTGGTATTTATGTTGTATATTATTTCCTATGTATGAAATCCTATCAAAATGTTGATTCAAAAATTTTGCGTCTAATTAGTTCAACCAAACCTTCTCAATTTTTATAAATCTTGAGTTATTTGATTGTTTAATGTATTTGGGGTATAAATAATGAAAAATTCGTTAAGAAAACGGTATCTCATTCAAATTTTTCAATGTGATTTTTTATTTTACTCAAATTTGTTATAAAATCATAAGTTAATGACGTTATTAAGTCAGTAATAATTTACTCACTAAAAATTGATATAGAGTTCATATTTCTATCAGACTTTTCTCAATAACTTTTTCACTTTTATTCATTGGAGAAAGATTTTTATCCAAATAAAACAATTTTAATATCGTATTTGTCGTATTGTAAGGAAGTGCAAGTGAAACTTAATGTAATTACAGCTAAATATTCTATTTTTCGGATAAAATTATTGGAAAATTCACCGTAATTATAATTTATAAGAGTTTTAAGTTATTAAATAGCAATAAAAATTAACAATTAATATCAATAGATATTTATTTTCAATAATTAACGAAATAAATTTATTCATTATAGAGAGCAATTAACTTTTGCTCGTATTTCGCCTTCAATGCAGCGTATTGAGGCTTCATTGATGGTGTGAGTAGGCCATTTTCAATTGTTGGCTCTTCGAGGTCGATCAAAAATCGTTGGATTCTTTCGAAACCTCTAAGGTGGTATTTGTCCTTAACATCTTCGAGTGCCTTGATGAGCTCATCCTTGCATTCCTTGCTGTTGACAACATCGTTGATTCCTTTGGCCTTCCATTCATCTACGACTTCCTTCTTTGGAACACAAAGAGCAACTGGGAAATCGTTTGTGGATCGGCGGTAGACGAAAACGAATAATGTCTTTTTCGCAGAAAGCGTAAATTTCGTTGAGAGATGTCAAAGAAATGTATTCGCCCTGGCAAAGCTTGACGAGATTCTTGATTCTGTCGATAATTGGCAGTGCATGTCGTCGTTAAGAGTGGCAACATCGCCTGTCATGAACCAGCCATCTTCATCGAAGGCTTCCTTTGTAAGATCTGGAGCTTGTAGTAGCCCTTGAAGATATTTGGACCGCGAACAAGAATTTCGCCGGTTGGATTCTTGCCTTTGGCGTCGTAATTTGTTCCTGAACCGCATTGAGTTTGATTTCACAGGCCAAACCACATGCGCCAACGGACTTTGTGTCCCAGAGAGGAACTTCCTGGACAAGAACCCCAGCAGCTGTTTCTGTAAGACCATATCCTTGGATGATATTCGGTGTAAGAGCGGCAGCGCAGAATCTGGCTACGTTATCCATGATTGGGGCACCGCCATTGACAACAAGACGTAGCTTGCCACCAAGAGCTTGTCTGAAATTATCGAAAATAAGACGGTCGAGAATCCAAGATGTTGGTTTTCCATTGAGGATCTGGTTAGCCTTGTAATCGATTGCTTTGTTGATGATGTATTGGAGCCACTTTGGCTTCTTTTCAATTTGGGATTTCATTCCTCTGAAATTCTGTTGAGTAAACGTGGAACAACGATCATGGCTGTTGGCTTAAGCATCTGGATATCTTCTACGAGATTATAACAACACCTCTTGTATAGCCAATATGAGCACCATGAGCAAAACCGATCAATTCGCAAACAACGGCGTAAATGTGGGCGAGAGGAAGGAAGGAGAGGTAGCAGTCGTCAGGAGTAACACCAACACCAAGCTGAACGAATGAAGCAGCGCCAGCAATGATGTTCTTCTGTGTAAGTGGGCAACCCTTTGGGGTTCCTGTTGAACCACTTGTGTACATGATGATGGCATCGTCATCTGGGAGTGAGAATTCGTTCTTTTGTGTAGAATTGCGACCCATTTCCAAAACATGCTGGCAGGAGTCAAATTCGACATTTGGAAGTGACTGCCCTGGAACCTTGTCGGACATCTGAACGATCTTCTTGACGATTCCTGTTTTGTGGGAAATTTCAATGGATTGTGGAAGTTTATATTCAGATGTAAAAATAACTGAGCAGCCAGCATCCTCAATAATGAACTCGGCTGCTGTAGGACCTAATGAATCGTAAATTGGAACAATGCAAATACCAACAGATCCGGCACCAAAATTAATTGTTTCCCACCAGATGGAATTGGATGAATAAATACCAATGTGGTCACCTCTCTTGAGGCCCATCTCTAATAAACCGCGGCCAAAAGCGAGAACTTGTTGATAAAAATCGCGATATGGGAGCCATTTGTATTCACCCATTGTGCCGTCTGGATTTTTAGCACGTTCACCAACAGCAGGCTCATCTGGCCATTTTCCAGCTGATGTTTTGATCAGATCGGGCATTGTTTCGACATGTGGACAACATCTGAAAGTTGAAATAAATTCACCGCCATCTAAAAAGCAGTGATTATTTCTGTATATTGGAGAGTATCCCTCTGTTGCTGTGCCTGGTAATTCTTGGCAAAGAGATCTCACAGGAACGTGATTAGGTGAAAAGATGGTGGTCTTCATTTTATTTTTGGTTGAAAACAATATACTTTTACGAAGAGAAAAGATGTTGTTGATTCTATTATTAGTGTTCTTTTTATTTCTTCTTAAAAATCTTAATTCTCACAAAAAAAAGTACGAAAAAATTGTGATGGCATTCTTCAGATCATAAATTAGTATATCATGAGACAAAAACAACTTAAATTCAAATGCTCTTTATGAATTTAATTCTGCATTTAAAATATTATAGACCGAAAATAGATTTTCGGTTTTCTCTTCAAATAATTGAAAGAATGATACTATTATAGGTTTATTATATTATATAATATAATCTTATAGCCGAAAATTATAAGTTTTGAGAAGATTGAATAAACACAAATAAATTTGAATGTAAGTTAAATTGCTTGTTGTTTTTTAATAGCTATTTAATGAGAAATCCAATATTGCAAAATTCAAATTGAATGATTGAAAGAACAGAAAAAGTCATTCTTTTCAATTTCGAATATGTTTCATTGTATTTATAATTAGATGGCAAATAAGATATTTAAACTTAATTTGTGAAGGAAAATTCACAAAATTAATAAATTCAAATAATTTTTATTCAAAAATAAACTAGTTATTTGAGTTTAATACTAATTATCTATTCAAAATACAAAGTTTGTAATTTAAAATATTTTGTGAGATCAGATTGAATTAATTCAAGGTTCTTTTCAATTAATATTAATGACCATATTACGCATTTTCGAACATTCTAAACCAAATATATAAAAATGGGAGACCAATGTTAAATTTGCTAGACATGGGGGAGTTGTCTGCAAAGTTTTAGCTCTTATCTCTAACAAAAAATTAATTTTTAAAAAATGACGAATACGTTTCACAGCGAGAAAAAAATAAAAGGCAAGATAGAATTTTCTAGACATAAAGAAGTTGTTTACCGAGTTTTAGCTCTTATCTCTAACAAAAAAATTAATTAAAAAAATGACCGAATACGTTTCACACGAGAAAAAAATAAAAGGCAAGATAAAATTTCTAGACATAAAGAAGTTGTTTACCGAGTTTTAGCTCTTATCTCTAACAAAAAATTAATTTTTAAAAAAATGACCGAATACGTTTCACAGCGAGAAAAAAATAAAGGCAAGATAGAATTCTAGACATAAAGAAGTTGTTTACCGAGTTTTAGCTCTTATCTCTAACAAAAAATTAATTTAAAAAAATGACCGAATACGTTTCACAGCGAGAAAAAAATAAAAGGCAAGATAGAATTTTCTAGACATAAAGAAGTTGTTTACCGAGTTTTAGCTCTTATCTCTAACAAAAAATTAATTTTTAAAAAATGACGAATACGTTTCACAGCGAGAAAAAAATAAAAGGCAAGATAGAATTTTCTAGACATAAAGAAGTTGTTTACCGAGTTTTAGCTCTTATCTCTAACAAAAAAAAAAAAAATTTAATTAAAAAGCCGAATACGTTTCACAGCGAGAAAAAAATAAAAGGCAAGATAGAATTTTCTAGACATAAAGAAGTTGTTTACCGAGTTTTAGCTCTTATCTCTAACAAAAAATTAATTTTTAAAAAAATGACCGAATACGTTTCACAGCGAGAAAAAAATAAAAGGCAAGATAGAATTTTCTAGACATAAAGAAGTTGTTTACCGAGTTTTAGCTCTTATCTCAACAAAAAATTAATTTTTAAAAAAATGACCGAATACGTTTCACAGCGAGAAAAAAAGTAGATAGAATTTCTAGACATAAAGAAGTTGTTTACCGAGTTTTAGCTCTTATCTCTAACAAAAAATTAATTTTTAAAAAAATGACCGAATACGTTTCACAGCGAGAAAAAAAATAAAAGATAGAATTTTCTAGACATAAAGAGTTGTTTACGCGATTTAGCTCTTATCTCTAACAAAAAATTAATTTTTAAAAAAATGACCGAATACGTTTCACAGCGAGAAAAAAATAAAAGGCAAGATAGGATTTTCTAGACATAAAGAAGTTGTTTACCGAGTTTTAGCTCTTATCTCTAACAAAAAATTAATTTTTAAAAAAATGACCGAATACGTTTCACAGCGAGAAAAATAAAAAGGCAAGATAGAATTTTCTAGACATAAAGAAGTTGATTACCATTTTAGCTCTTATCTCTAACAAAAAAATTAATTTTTAAAAAATGACCGAATACGTTTCACAGCGAGAAAAAAATAAAAGGCAAGATAGAATTTTCTAGACATAAAGAAGTTGTTTACCGAGTTTTAGTTATCTCTAACAAAAATTAATTTTTAAAAAAATGACCGAATACGTTTCACAGCGAGAAAAAAATAAAGGCAAGATAGAAATTTCTTAGACATAAAGAAGTTGTTTACCGAGTTTTAGCTCTTATCTCTAACAAAAATTAATTTTTAAAAAAATGACCGAATACGTTTCACAGCGAGAAAAAAATAAAAGGCAAGATAAATTTTCTAGACATAAAGAAGTTGTTTACCGAGTTTTAGCTCTTATCTCTAACAAAAAATTAATTTTTAAAAAAATGACCGAATACGTTTCACAGCGAGAAAAAAATAAAGGCAAGATAGAATTTTCTAGACATAAAAGAAGTTGTTTACCGATTTTAGCTCTTATCTCTAACAAAAAATTTATTTTTAAAAAAATGACCGAATACTTTCACAGCGAGAAAAAAATAAAAGGCAAGATAGAATTTTCTAGACATAAAGAAGTTGTTTACCGAGTTTTAGCTCTTATCTCTAACAAAAAATTAATTTTTAAAAAAATGACCGAATACGTTTCACAGCGAGAAAAAAATAAAAGGCAAGATAGAATTTTCTAGACATAAAGAAGTTGTTTACGAGTTTTAGCTCTTATCTCTAACAAAAAAAAAATAACAAACCATCAGCGAGAAAAAAATAAAAGGCAAGATAGTTTTCTAGACATAAAGAAGTTGTTTACCGAGTTTTAGCTCTTATCTCTAACAAAAAATTAATTTTTAGAAAAATGAACGAATACGTTTCACAGCGGAAAAAATAAAAGGCAAGATAGAATTTTCTAGACATAAAGAAGTTTGTACCGAGTTTTAGCTCTTATCTCTAACAAAAAATTAATTTTTAAAAAAATGACCGAATACGTTTCACAGCGAGAAAAAAATAAAAGGCAAGATAGAATTTTCTAGACATAAAGAAGTTGTCTACCAAGTGTCAGCTGTTACTTCTTCTCAATACTGATATAAAATAAAAATCTTTTTATTTATTTAACCTTTATCTTATTTATTTTAAAAAAAAAAAAAAAAAAAAAAAAAAAAAGGCAGTGGGGCTTCCAGGCACTTCGTGCCCTCTAGCCCCGAAGATGTTTAGTATAAATGAAGTTTTTATTCGGAAAATTGTTAGTCTTCTGGGTCGAAAACATTATATAATGTTTCACTTTTCACAAATTATATATGTTTTCATGTTTTGTCACTTTTCTGTCACTTTTCGGGTAAAAACATTTTTATTATTATATATAAATGAATTTTACAAAACCACCGTTACCGTTCTTTGGAAATAAGAGTAGATGTAAAGATATTATTGAGAGAACTTAAGAAACTACCGAATGGTCTAACATTTGTAGATTTGTTCGGTGGAGGTTTCTATATATCCCATTTGTGCCATACAATATTCCCAGACTCAAAGATTATATGCAATGACTTCGACAACTATATGGACCGTCTCAAACATATTCCAGACACAAACAATATATTGAAAGAGTTAAAAGAAAAGATACCTATAGGTAAGATGGAACGTATACCATTAGATAAGAAAAAATATTGTGAGAGAGGTTTTGAAAAAAGCAGAATATATAGACTGGGATATATATCTGCTAGACTATTATATAGTGGTGCTATAAGAGTTCATGACATTGAAACACTTATGTCAAAAGTTTTATATCTTAACTATACAAATGTTTTCAAAGAGGACATTGAAAAATATATTGAGGTATAGAGTTTGTGAGATGTCGTTGGACAGAGTTGTATGAAAAATATAAAGACAAGGAAAATATTTTCTTTATAGTGGACCCGCCGTTCTTTAACACATGGGATTTTCAATACCAAGTAGACTGGACTTTGAGAGACTCTTTAGAAACTTTAGACGTTTTACATAACCATCCATGCTTTTACTTTACATCCGATAAAAGTGGTTTGGAAAGTGTCATGAGATGGTTAGAGGACATACATGACTATGAGTTTAGATACGATAAAAGATAGAATATGAGAAGTCCTATAAACTGGAGAAAGTGTCACAATAAAGAAATTTTATTAGTAAGTAAATGTGGTTTGAAATCGGATTGTTAGTTTTAGGTTTTTTCCATTGTGTCATTTATTTATTTGACGTGGCAGAAAAGTACAGAGAATATGAAGATGAACCAATGCCTGCAAATGTTCAGTATATGTACTCGTAAGAGATATTTTTATCTAATATTAAATGGACGCACAGAACTTAGCGAATGCACAGCAACCTGGACAACCAAACCCAGAGAATATTCCAAATGAAGTTAGAATACAAACTGCAATGGCAAACTATGGTCAAGTGCCAACAGATGTACAAATGCAAACTGCCATGTCAAATGACGCTGCGTTAGGTTGCCACCATGGTATGCAAATATGAGATGGAAAGAGTTTTATACAAACCCTGAAGTGGGATATAAACAACTTTATGCAGATGACGCGAACACAGGAGTTGACCCAGAATATGTTTTCTACCAGAGGAGAAACAGAATGTATGAGCTCCAGTTAAAGAATGCTATGAACTCAACAGGAAACGTAAGAGACTAGGCGGACATTAGATTTTTACATATAGTAAAATGGGTTTCTTCAGTAAGATAGGAAACTTCTTTCGAAATGTTGGAAGAGGTATATGGATGGAATAAAAACCGTAGGAAGAGGAATTTGGAACGGTGTCAAAAATATTGGTAAAGAGTAGGTCAGTTCGTTGGTATTATACCTAAAGACCTGAACCAGAAGAGCAAGCTCCTGTTATACAACAGCCTGAACCTGCACCACAGTCT